GTGTGCTTCGTCTGATCTTGACTGGTTCAAAGTGTTTTTGCAAAATGCAGGGATTTGACAATGTGGCATGTCATGAACTGTTGCTTATGAAGTATACAGCGTAGTCCGCATGCATTAAAAAAAGTTTATGAGCCTTGTACACCACTTTAATAACATGAAGGAATTTATTATTCTTCTTACATGAAATGCATGCAGCGGTGTCTTGAAAGACCTACACGCAAGTGTGACGGTTTCTAGTGTTAAAAAGTATTCGAAAGTTTGTAAACAATAAAACTGAAAGATGCTTTTTATTTGTGGACTTGAAAGAAGACATAATTTACATTAAAATGAGCCCAAGATGAGGTACTTTGCCTGTTTTCTATAAAACATACTTGAATGCATGAGGTGTCCAAAATTAACATAAAAATCGTACTACTTAGGTCTTTATTTTTACTGCGTGTGGTTTACGTAAACGGCCGGAAAGAAGCGCGTTCAAAAGCCGGCCTTCTCGCTCGACTGAAATAATTTTGAATTATACTGCAGCACAACCAATGCAACAAACCCACCTAAGTAATCTTTCCAAATCGAAATTTCAGGATTGCCATCAAAATTTCATGAGATACGCCACCTATTGTAGTAGTTACATGGAGACTCCTGGACGCAAGCGGGCTAACTGTATTTTTGAACCCTGGCAGAAAGTTGTCTGTTTCCTAATTTGTGGGCGTTTTAGACGTGATTTTGGCAGTTGTTCTTAATCCCAGTACTACTGTTTCGTTAACTCATTTACAAGCCTTCTTACCACAGATTATTTTTTTTTCAGCTGCCAATCTTCTTTCCCATTCTCTTTCTCTTCTGCGATGTATTCATTCTCTGTCTGACCGCCTATCAGCAGCCGAAGGAATCCCTCTCAAATATTATTCTCATGTTATCGGCCATCCCCATCTATCTGGTCTTTGTCAGCTGGAAACGGAAACCTAGGAAATTCACCGATTTCATGTGTAAGCACTGCCACTTCCACATATCTCTAGCTGAGGATTAAGAGGACGTCTTTTCTTATCACAATGGTGCTGTCCTGTATCTATGTACAACCAGAATAAGGTTGGGTTTTTTCTTTTGGTGTGTGTAGGCCAAACACTTTCGCGGCGGTTCATCCACAGCATCTTGACCCAACAACTAGGGGTAGTCTTTGCGATCGCAAAAGCAGATGGTTACAGGGCCTTGTGTGGCGACCTGATGTGTTAACTTTTCTCTGCCGAGATCTGCTACTACCACCGAACTACTATTGTTAATATGCAGTCTTGCTGGCTTTCTGGCCGTCAACAATGCTCAGCAGTGTATGTGTGACGCTGTATCTTCTGTTTTTACTTTCAGACAAGTCGACTATCTGCCTGCAAAAGGTCTTTGCCAGTGTGCCTGTTGATGATGTGGAGGAGGCCGAGGGAAATGCCGATGCCTGAGGCCTTCTTTTGAACAGTTTTTCGTTTTAATGTGCGCCAATGTCTGACCTCCTAGAATCCTGCTTTTCCAGTTTAATATACCCGCATCCAGCGCCTGATCAACGCTGCTTTTACATGCGATTAAAACTCCTTTAAGCATTTCCCCGCTTTTGTCGTTCCATGCCTTTTTTATACGAGTTAGTGTTTACGGGTTACTTTTGTTGAACATAAAAAAGCCTTTCGCAGAGGATGGTTATT